GAAGTACTGTGAAGGATAGATGTTGTAGTTCTTTGAAGACAGAGAAGGAACTTTGTGTTATATTGACAATTCCTCTGGGCAGAGAAAGAGCTGTCTGAGAGCAGAGGAAAATTCCTGAGTATGAATGCTGAAATAGAAGACCTGAAAAAAAAACTTGGTTTAGAAGAACAACACCACCAAAAACTGCTTCAGAAACATGAGGAGATGGTCTCTCAGCTGCAGCAAGAGAAGGTAAGTACAGACTATGAATTAGTCTAAAAACAGACTCTAATCCCAATGCCTGGCACTAAAGGTTCTGATTTTGGTTACATATGAGATTAGACCACTAATAATAAAGCAATCTGTGGAACGTACAAGTGGGTGCTGGCTAGCAGAAACTGTGTGTGGTCCGATACCTCTAAGAATCATAGCTGCTATGACGGGTGCTTTGGTTCTTCCTGTAGATTTGACCTTATCCTTGTGCTTTAAAGTTTGAACACTGCAAATTAGTCTTAATATCCAGAAAAGTACTGGTAGCTTTAAAATCTGTGATACTCTGGCATGCAGGAGTCATCCGCATCAATGCAGCAGAAGTTACTGGAGTTGCAAGATGAGGTAACAAGTGAGAGACACCTTCTTCAAGAAGAGCTGAATGATACAATGACGGAGCTGAATAAATTACATGCTAAGGAGAAGAAAGCTGGGAAGTTGGTGAAGCGCTTGGAACAAGAAATCAAGTCTCAAGCTCTTGAACTTGCACAGATGGAAGTAAAGCTGAAAGGGTTTGTGAAATAAACTTTCTGTTTCTAAAGCTTTGAAAGGAAAAGCGTGAAATCGGTAGCATAAACAAAGCTTCTGAGCCTAATCCAGGTTTTAAAGAGACCTGAGCAGATCTAAATTTATTTCTTGCTGGTTGTTGATAATTGATAGTGATTAGACCTAATCCAGCTGAGTGACTTGCATCAGTTTTATGTTGTCTTAAAACTCTTTAATTAGCGTGCTGAGCCTTGCTTGAAACGCCAGTACTGTCGTAATATGACGTTGCTGTGAAGGGGAAGCTACGTGCGTGTCATGCTGGATGTTTCTGCCCTGGAGAGGGCAGTGACTAGGAAAGATTTTCAAGCGAGTTGTTTCTTCCTTTCACATATTGGAAGTTTACTATTAGGCGTTCAATCTATTCTATAGCTATCTTGGAAAATAAGGGGAGGGGGAAATGCTTAGTTAAATCTACTATGAGGATTGTGCTTTAATATGTGAGAAGCTGTGGCAGAGGAGTTACTGGTTTGGCCCAATTGATTTATTGCTGCCACTGCAAGCCTTCTGTAACTGATACCAGCGTTTGGTAATGTGTTCAGACACGCTTATGTCCAGCGTGGAACGCTGAATTTTTATTTCAGGAAGAATGCTGAGTTGGAGCAAATCAATGAAATGCACAGCAATGCTGTCTTGCAAATCCAAGAGGAGCATAGCAATACGTTGTGTAAGCTTGGAAAGACTATTGCTGAGTTTGAAAGGTATCTAAGTTTCATTAAGATCTGTGACTGGGATTATCTCTAAGATTACAACAAAATACACTGTTTATTCATGTCCCTTGGTACTTAACGCTGTGTGTGAGCGTTGGTACGGTGTTAGAGCAGAGGATTTTGTGGTGGAGTTTTTGATGGCATTAAGAGATCCATTTATTCCTTTTGAGTACTAGCCAAGTGTAATGATGATGTACTCGGCATCTAGTTCAGGAAACTGGATGTTTCGTCTTCCAAAGTGTAACCAATTAGAATACTCAAGTGCTCTTGAACCTCAATGAGAGTTGTAACTAGTGACGGTGTTCTCTTTGCACTAAAATCTCTTGCAAAAAGACTTCTGGTTTAGGCTCAAAACTTGCTCTGAATCGAGGTCCTTTTCCTACAGTTCTTGCAGATCTTTCCTGAAAATATTCAGGTTGTGGAAGTATGTAAAAACTGGTGCTGTTACTGCTAAGTATGGAAGGCGCCCATGAAGGAGCCAGTGGGATACTTGCCAATGCAAGCTGCAGATAGTGGGTCTTTTGGTATTTAAAATAAGCTTCAGATATAGTAGGTCTTTTGTTTTAAAATACCTACCAGAATGTGAAAATATCTGTATCGCAGGATTACTCGTAGCGTTACTGCTTATGGCTTTATGGAATTTTTTTTTTTTGTTTTAACTTTGGATTTATCAGTGCCAGAACACTGCCATATCCCCAGATTATAAAGTCTCGTATACTTGTTAGCGTGAGCTTGTATTGCTTTTGTAAGGCCTGAACATGTCAATCTGTATTTTGTTTAAAGTAACAAGATTTTTCTTATTTGCATTGGAATACCAGCTACAAGAAGACAATAGCTGAAGAAATACGCAGTCTTAAACTGGAGAACACCTCTCTGCGAGAAGAAGTTGCCAACCTAAAAAAAATAGGCCAAGATAATCTACAGCTGCTTCAGGAAGCAGAATACACTAAAAACAAAGAAAAAGAAGAATGTGCAAGGTACTAGGCAGACAAACTTTTCCTTAAGCTAAAGAATGCCAACTAAAGCTTGCCTTCTTAACTAGAACTTAACATGGTGCTCTACCAGATAAAATCAGTATTTGGTGTAAGCTTAAGTTTCTTCCTTTTCCTAGTACAGAGAGTTGGAAATACTGACAGACAAAATTCATTAAGTTTATATGCATTAGAAAATCAGTCTGTTCAGTCAGTTGCTTTGACTTTTCCCTTTATGTGGAACGCACAGGAAAAGGAAAATACTTAACTGAAATATATTGGGATATTGTGTTTATCAGAAATACCAGTTACAGTGACTGCTCCATAGATAAGATCCGCAGGGGCAGACAAACAAATACTTAATGCAGAGCTCACCCTTTGCCACTCTGAATAATGTGCCACCTCAAATTCTGCTCACAAGCAGGTGCCAGTTAACCATCCGTGAATTACCGCACTGCAGTGAGGTAAACAAAGGTCCTCTCTCTGCCTAATAGGAAGCACCACAGTGCAGCTGATAAGTAGTAACACCCAAGAAGTTGTCTTGGGCCACCAGCTGAGGACATGTTTCTCTGTCTAACAGCAGCTTAGTGGTGTATGTTCTCCTTCCAGCTCACTGCGCAGAGCATGAGAAGGTCCCTTGCTGTGGGCAAGTACCTGACTGTTCGGGGAAGTGGGGGAGTTCGGTCTTAAAAGGTCCCAGTGAACAATCGCCTGGGTTGGGCAGCTGTGGTAGCTGCCCGTACATGAGCCGCGTTACGGAACGTATTGTGTATGTGCTGGAGGATTTCCTTCCCCGCTTTGAGTGTAGTTCCTAGCTAGCTTCTGAAGTTGAAGCTGCATTTAAGTCAACCACAACGCTCTGATCTTTTTAACTCTTGCATGTGGATAAATTACTTAACTGCATTAAAATGCTGTTTTGGCCAAACTGAACTGGGCATTTCTGATCTGCCCAACTTTATCTCTTTGATTTATAAAATACCTCTATAAAGTTTTGTAATGCTTCTGCTGTCTTGTTCACCCGTAGTCAGTATATTAAGATTGTCCAAAGGACAATTGCAGCTTAACCCAGCTTACTTTAAAACACCTGCACTGCTTAAGATGTTGCCCTTTCTTTCCTTCCCTTCCCACCTCCTTAATATTGCCTCTAGCTTCCACTGGAGCTGGTAAAAGAAAGGCAGCTGAAGAGCTGTGTCCTGTTTGACTTGCTGGCTGAGTGTGGCGGGGAAGGGCTGCTTGGTCTGCACCCAGCTGATACCTCAACCGGCTGAGGCGGGAGAGGGAAGGCGGTGCTTTAGGGGTGGGGGTGTCTGAACCCTGGAGTACATCCACACTGAACACTCTTGACTGGTTTCTGCTTGAGCAAACCTCTGCATGTGAAGCCTAACTACTAAAGTGTCTTCCACTAAAAGCTGCTGGCATTCAACAGTCATAAATAAAAAGCATATGATCTCGCCTTGCTTCAAAAGCTCCCCTTGCTTCCTCGTGGGAGACATCAAAAATATTGTACATCCTGAACTTGATTGCTTTCTGTATTGTTGTTCTCCTGTAGCACCATTTGTGCAAACCTTTGTTTCAGTTCTTCTGCTAACAGCTTTGTCTATCATGGTTACTTTTGTTTTCAGATTTAGAGTAGTGTAAAAAAAAAAAAAAAATAAGGGCTTGTTAATGATGGATTATACCTTCCTCAGGTTGCTTTTAGAAGTCCAGACAAAGCTTGCACTAAAAGAAGCAGAAACAGAGAGAACAAGAGAGTCTTGCCTTGCACGAATGACTGATCTTCAGGAGAAACTGGAAGAGCAAACTGAAGATCTGAAAAGAAAACTCGAAGTGGAAAGATCCAGGTGACTTTTCTCGGAGTAAACCTGCACGTTAACCACATCAGCGTTTTAGTGTGAAGAAGTGCTGAGAGCTAACAGTGAACACAATGAAACACCGCTTCTTGCTTTTTAGGAAAACCATGAATGAAGATGTGACCTCCAGCTTAAAAGAAGAGATAAAGACCTGGCGTAATCTATATGAAGATTTACATAACAAAGCTAAGCCTTTTCAGGTGCGTTTTGAACTAGATATTTATTAGCATCTGTTGGCTTAAGACTTGTGCAGTTGACTCAAGTTCTGCTCTTCAGAAGTAAACGTGCTATTTCCCATTCTAAGGCATTTATCCTGCGATGGTCTCCTAAGCTGCTGTCCCTTGAGCCAGCTGTTCCCCTTCCCAAACCAATCTTTCTTTGTAGATTTCAGTTCAGTAAAAAGCTATGTTTAATTTACGCATTTCTAAAAGATTCAGTATGTATTTCAGCAACAACTAGATGCGTTTGAAGCAGAGAAGAACGCGCTTTTAAATGAGCACGGTGCAGCCCAAGAAGAACTGAATAAACTGAGTGATGCGTATGCTAAACTACTTGGCCACCAGAACCAGAAGCAAAAAATCAAGCATGTTATGAAGTTGAAGGAAGAGAATACTCACCTGAAGCAGGTTTGTAAAATGGAAAGTTAGAAATCTGTAAGTTATTTGCACGATTCCTTTATTTGTTGCTCTACGTATTTATGGACTAATCCTGCAAACTTCTTGCAGAGAATTCAAGAACCACAGAAAGCAAGAGCTAGACTAGAACAAACCACCGGCCTCCAGAAGCACCAAGAGAATCTGTTTTAGTTTCGACTGAATATATGATGTACAGAGGGCTCACCAGTGCCAATAACTACCCCTGCTCTCAGCTTGGTTGTTTTTTGTTGCCTCTTTTGGAGGTTCTAGGCTTACTAAACTATATCTGCTGAAAGCAACACCTGAACGTTTCAGGCTACTGTACTGCTTAGTGGTGTTAGACAGCAATTATACAGCGGTGCTGGCTCCTCTACACCTGTATGTTTGGTTTGGGTTTGGTTTTTAATGCCACCAGTAACTGTGTATGTGTGTTTGCACTTAGCAGTAGTCAAAAGGGCTGCTTCGGTAAATGATGAAGCAGGCTTTTCTCCTGTTCGTAATCTAACTTCCAAGTATTATGTTTTCTTTAGGATGTCTCAAAACTGCGTGCGTTGCTAGCAAAAGAAAAGCAAACCAACAGAGATCTTCAGGAGCAACTACGTGCAATTCAGGGCATTAGGCGTTTTGATCCTTCCAAAGCTTTCCAACACAATAGCAAGGAAAACATTCCTCCAAAAACTCCTTTTAAAGAAGGTAAGCTTAGATATTGATGTAACCATGTCCTCGTACCTCTTAAACTTAACCGAAGGCGGCATGACAGTCTTGCATGGCCTGCTGCATTTGGGGAAGGAAGGAGAGCGGCCTCTCTTGTGCTTCACAGCAGATGCTGGAAGGCTGCATCAACGGGGCACTTCCAGCGTACGGTTCGCTGTTGTGCTTTCCAGCCCCGTTTCCTACAACCTGACCCGAGCGGGTGGCATGCCAGGCGCGTTTGGGGGGGGAAGAGGAAGGAGTGGGTTACAGAGGATCAGCTGCCTTGCGTGATCCTGCAAGCCATGAACTTTGCTTTGCTACCGTGCATCCGTCACAGCTTGCACCTTACAGCTGGTGAGGTGGCGGTGACTGCGGCACGGGTGGTAGGGGTAACGGTGGTGCAGCCAGAGGTCAGAGCTCGCGTTCTTTCGCTGCTCCCTGGCAGGACCTTACGCTGCTGTGGGCGTGAAGGTAGGCTACAAAAGGCCTGCAGATGAACGTGGAGCGGAGCGAAAGGTGGCAAGAGCAGCGGGGCGTGCGAAGGGAGCAGCGTAGGAGAGCGTGTGGGAGGGTGTCGATCTCCACCAGACCTTCCTTTTACAGCGTGTTCCAGGGTCTGAAACTCTGGCTTGCCTGGTTTGGGGGGAGTAGCGTCTGCCCTCCCCCGGCAGACAAATAATTACTCGATGTGGTGGGGGTAATAGTGAAAAACCCAAACTTAGTAACGTTTTTCCTTTGCAGGTAATAAAAACAAAATTTAATCTCTTCTTGGTATTAAGAAAAATATCATAAATCGCCAATAAAGTCATGTATGACGGAAGACTTCAACAGACTACTCGTTCAAGGTGAACTTGGATGCTGTATATAATACAAATTAGAGTACTAGAGAAAGGGCCTAAATGCTATATTTTTGGAAAACTTATGCCTGGTCACGCTCTTACTGAGAAGCCATAGGTGAGGGTGTGTTCCAGACTCCTGGTAACATTGCTGCACCTTGAACTCCGGCAAGTGTGCACTGTTTCACTCTGTCTGTACGCTGAAGCTGCTTAGTTTGTTTTTGACAGAGCAGCTTGAATTCAGGAACGGAGAATAAGCACCGGAGAATAAGGATGACAAATGAAATCTGATTTCATGAAAGATGGCTTTTTGCATCTATCTCATGTTTAAAATTTGATGTTAAATTCCTTCTGCTGTTCATGGTTGTTTCAGTACCAATGGCAGGGATACATAATGTAGAACCAAAGTAGAAAATTGGACCGTACAGTTAGTTTTTTATATTCGTAATGGGGTCTGTATTCAGGACATGCTAATTTAAACCCTGGGGCTGGGTATTGCAGCTGTTGATCTTCAGAAGAGGATTTTCAGGTCAAACTCAAATTGACTGCACTTCCCTGCACGGTTGCATACTGGCTAAGATTAGTGTTTGATGAGAAATGTCCGTTTTGCGAACGCTGTGCTTGCTGGACTCTGGAATTGTTCTCACATCTTGGTAGGCAGCCGTTGTAACTCATCAGGGCTGGGGGGAGGGGAAGAACACCAGCGCTTGCCTTCGCTGGGCAGGAGGATAGCCACTGTGCACGCACGCATTGTACAGACTTGAATTTTGGCGAGGTGGGAAGAATCTGTTTAACTGCATCTAAAATGAAGAAGGTTTTAGCACAATAAACATTTTAAATTAAATAGTTTGTTTATTTCCTTCACAAACCAGGGATAAAAACCGAAATCCAATTACCTGGTGGAATTGACATAGTGTTCTTTGCTCTACTCTTAAAGCTTCATAACGAAGCCCAGTGTCGGTCTTGCCTCAAAGACTACGTCTTCTCTAGCCTTACAGAAGAAATTATTGAAGCCGAACTGTACAATAGATACAGCCTGCAATTCCCTTATCCTCTCATTTCCTGTGAATTTCTCTTAATGCAAAAGCAAATTCTGGAACCGAAGTGAAAGGTGGAACTCTGTGTTCTTGTTATCGGACCTGCTAGTAGCCTGCACACGGGCGCCGCAGGGGGACAGCGCGCACAGCGGAGCGTGTTGAATATACTGCCATTGTACTGACGTGACAAGCTTACAAAGAGTTGATAGTGCGTAGGAAACGAGATACCGAAAATGCACGTGAAGTCCAAGGAAAGAAATTGCCAGGTCTTGTCTGTTAAGGTCATCTCTGTGTATTTGCTGGGTTACTTGAACTTCTGAAGATGTAGGATGAGGATTAACTTCAGGTTTAATGTGTTTATGAACTGTAAATGAGCCTGTTATTCCAAGAGAGGTGAGGGCAAGTGAATGTTAACAGGGGTTCCACAAAACTCAAAGGTGGAGGTGGGGACGCTGAGCTAAGGTACACTTCTAACTGAACGTCACTTTTGGTGTTCAATATGTCCTGCGTCAAATTAGCAAGAGTTTGTCGAAGGGTGACAGTAGACAAAGTGAAACAAAATACTGCAGATATCGGGACTATGCTTTTCTGATGGCTACGTACTTTTTTCATACAGCCTTAATTCTTAAAACTTCCTAGGTTAATTGGCAGTTTTGCCTAGGTGTCATTTTAGATACTTTTTAGACTATCAGGGCATGCGTATATTGACAAAAGGATAGGGAAACTCTTGCAAATAACTATACTAGCTTTACCCCAACAGTGATTTTTGGTTTAGCTTTAAAATATAGATAAATAATGTAGAGCGGACTGGGGAGAGAAGTAAACAGTGGAAGCAAAGGGGAGAGTTTGAGTGCTTTGTGTCAGCTTCAATCTAAGTGGCTTTGCAGTTCCATGCACGTAGGAAATGCGTATTAAAATTGAAACCTTGACACTGGTAGCTCGACTGACTTAAGTATTCGTTGCGGAACATACCTTTTTTTATTGAAAAAATAGATAATAATTTCTTATTTCTCCGATGGTCCGTCTCACTGTGTTGTCGCAAGGTCTGGGTTGTAAGTGGTTTAAAGTGAAATGAAGAGCTGGTAGCATCCTCACCCTGGCTGACCAAATCAGAGCCCTCCTCCCCTTGCCTATAAAAGGAAAACGGCCCAGGAGTCGGTGCCAGTGCTTTGAATAGGTTTTACACGCACAAGGGCTGCGCTTGCTCCTGCTGCTCTTAGGAAGCAAGAATTTAAGTTCGTACTGAGCTGCTTAAATGGTACCACTGGGAGTAAAGCAAAAGCTTACCGGGACTCCGAGCCACACGTGATACAGGGCTTGGATTAGCGTTTCGGTTTCAAAGGTCAGCGGAGCTATTGCTTCTTCCAGTCCATGTGCTCCCTGCAGGCAGAAGCAGACAAAGGGACAAATGCGCAGCTGAACTGCATTAACTTCCTAGGCTGAAAATTCCTTCTGTAGTTTGAGGCAATGCCTAAAATGCTGGGGGAAACGGAGCAGGTAAGGCTCGGGATATTTGTGTTCATAGATTGCTGCCACGCTTCAGTTACAGAATCTGGGGAAAAGGAAACGGGAGGAGAGAGAGAGACTTAATTACGCTTTAGTCTATGCGAATTACAGTCTGAAATGTTAATTTAATGGGTGGTGCATTTAGTCACCCCGTGAGGCATTGTGCCTAAATGACTGTGATACGGACTGTAATAAAATTTTTATCTATTCCATGAAATCATAGTGTTTCACAAAGTGAATGTAATGATGATAAAGAAATTGAAAATATAAGCTAGACTGCTACTGAATTCCATGTAAACATTTAAGGAAAAAATAGGCTATATTCTGTTACGAAGACAACAACTTACACGTAATGTTTGTAACTTATACTGGTGACAAAGCTGTGACGCTATTGTACGGGCCAGTTTGTGGTTCTGGCGTGAGCCTCCAGCGTTGCTGCTCTCCCCGCGGGAGGCTGGGAGGGAGGCAGAGCCTCCCCTTCCCAGGGCCTGGCTTCTGCGCTGCCGCCCGGGGACGCGGCACGGGGGGCTCTGGCAGCAGCTCTGCCTGGAGCCGCTGAACAGCTCAGCCTGTCTTCGCAGATCAAGTTATGAATTACTGATATTTTAAAGAATTCTAAGATTAATGAAAGGCAATTAAATGTCCATAGCTTATTACAAGGAAAAACAGGGCATCTGCCTCACAAGAAGGCAGAAACTGGCTAAAGTCGTTTCTGTGTGTTTATTTTTTTGTCCTGTAAATGTCAGGTTTTTGTCATAAGTGAAGGTCATTTACATTATGTTTCCATTCAAGTTGTAGGAGGTTTTGTGATTGCTCATTAACTGTGTGTTAATTCCTGTAGGATCAGGTGTTTTTCTCCCTTGACTACCAATTAAATACTGTTTTAATCAAGTCAAGCCGAAATAAATTTATCAGGTAAAGGCATCAGTGTGGGCGTAGCCAAAGTAAGTCTTGGTCGCTGTTTAACTTCAGTCCTCTTGTTAAAAACGTCAGGCGCGCGGCCTTTGCCTTTGTGTGGGTCAGAAGACTTGCATTTAAAAAAAATAAACTTCGGTATCGTGTAAGCATAAAATTATGCCCATAGGCCGAGTCCTGTGAGCAGTGATTGCTTTCTCAAAGGCAACCCGCCTTCCCCGAGGGATTTACCAGTCGCTTCTGTATACAGCTATGGATAAAGGCAACTTGAAAAGGGGCAAGGAAATAATTTCTCTTGCTCTCTGCGTGGTGTCTCTTAGCAGCCCACTCAGGTAGCTCGGTCTAATTACGGAGTTTTGCTGTACAAAGAGCAGGACTTGATCCTTCGCGTTACGCAGATGAACGTGTCCCACACGCTGTGAGCGTGCACGTTTGGTAACATCGGAACTCCGAGAGCAGCTTTGGCTGCAGAAGGGGCCCGGCCGGGGCGGCCGCCCCCTCCCGGGGCGGAGCGGGGCTGCGGCGGGGGGCCGGGA